CCCCCCCCCCCCCCCCCCCCCCAAAGATAAAAAGAGCTATGCAGCATTTTTATTTTTATTCTTTTAAACTATGAAGTATTATGGATTCAGCTACACAACCAATCATGCCATATTGATATCACTCGTAGAATACCAGATTATCTACAGCCCTGCATAAAACATCAAAGCACAAATATCAGTTAAAACAATCAAGTATGTCAATAAGCTACAATATAGTATACAATTTCAAACGCTTCCAAAATTAAGTAGATCCAATACAATTTTATCTAAAAGAAAATGGACCAAAAGAATCAGATTATTGAATGGACAAACAGCAGACTAGGGGTTGTCACAATATAATGAAAGTTAAATTTTCCTTTTCCCCCTTTTCTTAAAAGCCGACAATGGTTTTCTGAAGACCTGGCTGCCTAGGGGAGGGAAGGGGCACTCAAAGGAAAGGCTTTGCTAGATAAAAGATGACCCTTATCAGTAGATGGCCCAGTATATCAGGTCCCAACATACTATGTACTCACAACTGTTGGTAGTTGTAGTAATATATCCCAGAAAGAATCTTGATCTGCCTTTTGAGGCATCATGTACAGAGTATCAACTAAAACTCACCCATCTTGGAGATCAAAACCATCTTTATACTATTTAGCATGTACACAACATCAAGACATGTAAACTACCATTAGCAACAAACCATAAAGGCAGAAATTAATATAGAAGATTATACCTTGCGCACTGCAATAACTCCCAGTGCAATGGTCCAGTGGTCATGTTAAATGCCCCAGGATAGCAAATCAAGTGAGCACCTGATGTTAACAATTTGTTAGTGTCAGCACCAAAAATGGCCCTGATAGTCCACATAAAATTATCATGATTGATTTTGTATGGCCACCACAACAATCTACGAGATGCCAGACGAGTTAAAGAATACAATCAGATTTACACGTCAAAGATACATCTTTTATTAGATCATATTTATCAAGCCAAATACACACACAATTTATCTCTGCTCTGACCAATATAAGAGATGACTAACATAAATACTGAAAAAGTTAAATCCCCATAATCAATATCTGACAATGTTATAGATGGAAACTTGAGCTTAAAGGAACGAATATTACAGCAGAATACACCATTTACTGTATAGGATTAATCATGTCACAAGGAATATATTATATAAGAGGGAGGACACTACTATTGGCATACTGCAAATGATTATTCATTAAATGTAATAACCTAGAGTACTAATGACGGTAATCTTCAGTATTAGAAGACATGACAAGATGTCATAGGAGACTAGAAATTTTGGACAAGAAATAGCAAAAAGAAGGACAAACCTCTTGCAGCATATATCATGGCTAGTTCTGGAAAACGAATGTCATAACAGATTCCAATACCAATACGTCCAACTTCTGCATGAACCAGCAAATAGTTAATTTCCGAAAACATAATAGTCACAAGGAGTACGAAATGTAATTTTAGTTCGGTGAACCAGCAAATAGTTAATTTCCGAAAACATAATAGTCACTAGGAGTATGAAATGTAATTTTAGTTAGGTTTATTGTAATCACATGCCAGTTACAAGAACCTCCACGAAAAGTAAAAAAAAAAAACACATACCGACCTGTGTCCACAACAGTAGGTGTTTGACCTGCTGCGATGGCCTTGGACTCGATAAAAGTGATTTTTCCAGGGATATCAATATCAAAAAGATGTATCTGTAGTTGAAAATGGCACAATAAACTTGTGAGTGATGAACTACCAACAAAGAAACATCCTCTAGATAAGTTAGATTGATCTAAATAACATTAACATTTTCTCCTTTAAAACACTTGAAGCATTGAATTACCAAATCCATCTCCTAACAACAAAATAAAAACTCAAACAGAAAAATGTATCAGAAGACAAACTGAGGAATACCCTAAAAGTGATTTTACACCAAATAACCAAATAGAACCATCAAGGCCTCCCGTCGTCCACAAGCAAATCAGGAAATATCTTTAGTGCCACATTGAATGCCAATGCCATCAAAAGACTCAAAAACCATGCATTAACATCATTTTTTTTACCTTCCTGTGTTTAGCTTTCATGTTTCCGTCAGTGCCAAAAACACAACAAGTATTATATATTTTATCCCCCGAGCGCTCTACAATTGAGCCGCCGACTATTGTGACTTTCAAACGACGCGAAACTTCAGATAACATTGCTGTTGAAGGGGAGGCATCACCACCGGCTTCAATGTCCTCGGCATAAACTGATACGGTATCCTGTGAATAAGGAACATTCCATATTTCCTGTCACAGAAATATGCGGGGAAAAGAAGTCACGAGCAGAACGGAAGGCCTAAAACCACGAAATACCACCAGGAAAGCTTAACATACATCAAACTAACAATAATTTTCAAACTTAAGAACTCACCGGCAAGACAACAAGCTTGGCGCCCTTTTCCACAGCCTCCTCAATGGCCTTACGAGCATGTTCAATATTCCTTTGCTTATCAGGCGTCGCCATCAATTGACATAGCCCGATTTTAAACTACGTCGAAACAAGCAAGAAATACCACTATCACATTAATTAACGAAACAAAACCGAGGTGAAAATCAATAAAGTAGACGAACTGACCTTGGTGACTGGAGGTACCGGCGGCGGAACTGCAGGCGGAGACGTAGCTCGCTCGGGATTGAAGGATGAGGCCATAATCGGCGAGGTCTTGATAGAGTGGAAACGGAACTTCTGGTGCAGGCTGGTAAAATTGGCGCCGTTGGCCTTGGCGTCGGTGGATACGACCGGGAACTGAGACGGTAGAAGAAGAGAGAGCTGTCGGAAAATAGAGCGGGAGAGGGAAGGTTCGTGGAGATCGAAATTTCTGAAGCTAATCAACGAAGAAATGGCCGCTTTCATCTCCAGATCAAACGACGACGTTTCAATGATAAGTTTCGCTACCACGTCGTTTTGAGATGGAACCGATGGATAATTTGTCCATAGTTTAGGGAACAACGTAAAAGTGCTTTTTTATAAAAAGTGGAATAATCAAAATTACTTTTTAAAATTGGTAAAAAAAAAAAAAAAAAAAAAAAAAA